CCCCAAAACCCCAAAACCCCAAAACCCCAAAACCCCAAAGGAAGGTTTGTGTGTTGAAAAGTAGGTTTAAGTACTTTTTGGGAATTTGGAGAGCGATTTTGAGTCTAGATTTGGTAATTGGAGAATTGAGATTCGTTTTTCCCGCTTTGAATGTCTTTATCGCTGAAGGTAACACGCTTGGTGGGTTCCTGAGCTAAAGAGGGCCTGGCTGATTTTTGGATATTGGAATTTTGAGAATTATGAGATTTTTGGGACTTTGGAGGTTAGTTTGGAGCTTACTTTTTGGTAAATTTTATGCTTCTTTGGATACACTGAAAGTTGATTAGTCAGGTTTAATTGGATATTTTAAGATAATAAAAATTATTCTTATATAAGTGTAAATTTATCAATATCTTAGTTAAATCCCATATTTTGAATAGAGTATGAGTTTCTAGTTCTAAAATTCGACATTTTTCATATTTTTAAAGATAAATTCATGTAATTGCTTCTAAAATATGAGGAACTTACTGTTCATTTTATATTCTAATCTCTGAGCAATGTTCTGAAAAATTAGTCTGAAATTACTGGAACGCCTGTGTATGGATAAAGAAAAATATTACATAAATTTCTTTGAATCATCTCAGGAAATCCTCTATAAAACAGTCTTGCTGCCTGCATGCTGTCTTTAGGATAACATTTCAGGCAATGATTTAATTCATTCATATACTCATTCATTATTTCCTCAGTCTATATTAATTTAAGAAAGTTTAGATAAAAATATTAAGTTGCTCTCTTACATCATAGTCTTTCACACTAGATTTGGTTTCTTTTTCCAAGTCCTTCCGACTTGAAGAGCCAAATTTGACTATAAGTTGGTAAATCATTTACCCAAAAAGAAGGTAAACTTTTGTTTCCCACAAAATATTGAAAATTCGATCGTAAATTTTACCATTCAAACTACTTTTCTTATTTTTGTGATGCACCCTTGGAATGATTATAAGAGCCTTTATTGGCATCTAAGCTGACAGGAAGCGTTGATCCATTAATAAAGTTAGTTAAATCTTCATCATTATATGGATAACTTTCTTTGTAATCTTCTATTTCAGAGATCCTCCTTTCTAAATCAAGAATAAAATGTGAAATTTAAGCGATCATTAAAAAATGTTTGTATGAGAAAACAATTGGCAGATCCTGGAGAGAATATTCATCCTTAAAATTTTAATTAGAGTTCTTACCTTCAATGCTCTTTGCTTCAGCAGAAATGTTTGTAATCACTATATAATTACAAAACCGATAACCTCTTTCCACTTTTGAGGTATCGATCTGGTCTGGATATGCATGACTAAATTTATTCAACAATAGCAAGAAATCTTTAGCTCATTGCATCAAATTCATAGTGGATTCATTATCTTGATCAATGTTGGACTCATGAGTTGATATATTAAGAGGCCTCTAAAATTTCAGAAAGATCTTCTTACTTGGTCAAAAGAATTATAGCTATTCAAACTATTAAATTTATTAGCATTGACAGTGTTGTCAATGCTCTTATGAAGACTCCTTTTGACAGTATTCTTTCTCTTTTTCCAGTATTTAACAGCTTCTTTAGGGTCTAAAGAGTCAAATTATCTTAAAAGTTATAATCATTGTCATACCTTTCACATATGGAGCTAAATAGGATGTTTTAGAATTGAAAGTAGCCCTATTCTTAGCAGCGATTTCAGGATTCAAGCTCTTTCTAACTCTTGCATGATAGTTGTATTTCTCTCTTATAAGGGATTAGGAAAATCAATAATTTTTAGAAGTTTCAAGATCACTTTCATTATGATAAACGTACTTTGGGTCTCTTAAATTGAAGTCTTTGGATTGAAATCTCTAAAAATTTAAAGAAAGGGTACCTTTGTTAAACTTTTGTTTAAAGGAACATGTTGATTGTCTCTAATGAGTCTAAACCAAAGTATGATAAAATATTAAGTGAAATGTTTTAGCGGTATTCTAAGTTCTTAGAATAAAATAGCATCTAAAATTTTAATTCATAACTACTTTACCCTTAAACTACAAAAAATAACCCCCTTCTTGAAAAATAAAAAAATTCTCAAAACCCAACTACCTTCTCAACACCCCCAAAATCCTAAATAAACTCTCTCAAACAAAATCCCCTTTCAAAACACTCTCTCATCCCTCCTGCCCTAATCCAAACCCTCTTCTAATCTCCCCTCAAATCCCAAAACATCCCTCTCCAACTTACCTAACTCTGTTAGCACTCCTATATCTGTTGGCTAAATCCATCATTAAGCCCATGAATCCACTTCAAAACTTACACATTATATTTCCAGGTGTACTGGGAGAGCCCCCAATTGGAGTTTTTATCTAAAATTTAGAGATAAGGTTACGTCTGTCATCTGTAGTAATGGCTGCTTCCTTCTGTTCTTCAATTCCCACTCTTTTTGGCTAATTAAGTGGTTAGAGATGTAGTCATGGTTGGAAAGGTTAAGAAGAGGCTGAGGTGGAAGGGAGTGTAATGGGACATACGAGTAGAATAGTTTCTCCGGCTTTGCTTTCATAAATAAAATTATATTTTCAGCATTAATATTTTATTGTGGGGTTTTGGGGTTTTGGGGTTTTGGGGTTTTGGGG